TCTTGGTCTGCTGCCTTCATACATCTCATACGTTGTGTTGGACCAACGCAGACATGTTCCTCTTTTTAGTTTTCTACATTCGCCTTAGAATCTACCTGTTGTTGTTGTTGTTGTTGTTGTTGTTGTTGTTGTTGTTGTTGTTGTTGTTGTTGTTGTTGTTTTGTTACCTTTTTCCTTTAGCCATCCTATTTGTAAAAAAAAAACAATTGTATGACTTTTTATAACTGTTCATTGTTTCATCTTTCTTTGTTAAATCAGGTCTCTCTTGTAAATGAGTCCTGGAGGCTCAATGGGACTAACCTGTAGAAATAAAGGTTGAAGGAATGAATCTCCTCCTACATGTCTCTGCGTGAGTGCAGCTACAGCGTGCGCTCTCAGGACATCATTACCTGCAGTGTTCCCTCAGTGAGGACTGAACTAGACAAAAGGACCTTCTCCTACTCCGCTCCTGTTTCCTGGAACATCTTGTAAAAAGATCTGAAGCTCTCGACCTTTGACCTCTCTAAGTGGCTACAAACATCTGCTCAGTTCCTGCAGATGTTCCTGGTTTTAGTTTTCTACATTCATATTATAATCCAGCTGTTTTTGTTACTTATTTTGCATCTTATTTGTAAAAAAATAAAATAATAATCTGTGTGCCTTGTTGTAACTGTCCATTGTTTCATCTTTATTAAACCAGGTCTCTCTTTAAAAGAGTCCTGGAGGCTCAATGGGACTAACCTGTAGAAATAAAGGTTGAATGAACGGGGGTTTGAATCCACCAGCAGTCACATGCCGAAGTGTCCATGAGCAAGACACTGGACCCCTCGTTGCCTCTGCTGTGTGTCCCATCAGTGCATGAATGTGATAAATCACTGATTAGTGTCTAGAATGATTAGTCCAGTTGTCAGACCTGATGTATGAACGGGTCACTGAGGAGCAGGTTGTTGTAGCGAGCTCATGGACAGGAGCTGTGTCACTACAGTCCACTTACAACACACACACACACACACACACACTTTGAGTGTGTGTGTGTGTGTTAAATATTCGTCTGATCACCAACATCCGGGGATTTATCCCTGCAGCTGCTGCAGCATCCTCTTCCTCCTCCTCTTCCTCTCGTCCTGCAGAGACACGGAGCTCCTCGCGCAGCAGGTTTGTTGTTTGATGTTTGTTGTTTGATGTTTGTTGTTTGATGTTTGTTGTTTGATGATGGCGGCTCGTCTCGTCCGTGTCGGTAGATCACGGGCAGATCGGGTGACGTCAGCTCTGTGATGATCTGATTGGCTGTCAGCCTCGCAGAGCTCCCTGCAGAATGTCACAGTATTTGTTTACTCTTTGATCCAGCCGGATGTTTGTGTTTTTATCCTGATGACTGACAGCTGCTGTCGGTATCGATCTTTACCTGGGGCTAATCAATCAGTGATCTGATTTTGTTCCTGTGTGGGAAACTAATTATATTTTTTTGGCTTATTTTTAATTTTTCTGTAAATAATCTGCAGCTGAATGTTTACATCACCTCTTCACTGTCTCATTCTTTCTGTCAGGAACCAATCAGAAAGCAGTTTGTTGAAACAGGAAGTCAGCCATGTTTTTAATAAAACACTCAAAGATGGAATGCTTATCGCCCGCCGCCTTCGTGTCTGACCATGTGTGACGATGAGAAATGATGAGGTCAAACTAACCAACCAAC